AGAACTGTCTGTCCGGGGTGGGGGTCGGGTCCCTTTAAGCGCAGCCCTCGGCTAGCCTGAGACAGCATCTCCACGCTCTAAGTCCTCCTCTGATGCCCTGCTGGCACTGCTTCCGGCCATCCTTAAGCCCTGTTCAGGGTCCACTCAATGTGGACTTGCTAGTTCGAATTAGCAAAACGCTAATTCGAACTAGTTTTTAGTTCTAGACGCGTTAGTTCGAATTAGCTTAGTTCGAATTAACTAATTCGAACTAAGTTAGTTCGAATTAGCGCTGTAGTGTAGACGTACCCAAAGATGGGTTACCTACGCTAGCTGGTGTATCATTTTGAGTGCTGACAAGCCCTTGGCCTGCTATTGCTGAGAAGTGCAGAGCACACAAGGTGAGTTCAAACGTAGCCTCTGCACTTCCCAGTTCTCTGCTAACTACTGGGCCAGCCCCTTAGCATAATTGAGAGTATCTTGAGGGTTTCTTAAAGTTACTTAGATTGTCATTGACTCACGGGGAACCACTGTGGCATAACAAAAACCCAGCCACACTCATTTTTCCATGCATACCACCTATATCAACAACACAGAGAGGGTGGTATAACATCCACAGCACCGGCTCTCCACTATCCAATGATCTCGAGAGGGTGGTATAACATCCACAGCACCAGCTCTCCACCGTCCAAGGATCTGCCTCCACTAGAGTGATTTTCTCGTAATGTTAGTGCAACATGGAGAGGCAGTATGATCTGGGCCACCATTCTATTGACTTCACTGGTGTCCTGCCGCTTACAGCAATGTCAGATCTGGTCTTTTGGGCCTTTTATCTAAGTGATGGAAGGGATTGGTCTTATTTGTCATCTTGCATTATTTCTAAGATTAAAATACTGTAATTTAAAAAAATTAGTATGTATTTTATTTAAAACATTTTACTCTTGCCTGAAGAGTTATATGGCATTTGTCCTATCTCTCTGAACCTTTAGTGTGATCCAGGTGGATGTCTCCTTGAACTTACAACACAATTAATAATAATAATGGGAGGTAAAGCAATTTGGAATAACATTCAAGAAGTGCTTCTTCCGTAAGTACCTAATGTTTTTTAAAAGGGGCCTAATGAAACAAACAGGTCAAATATTTGATAGCTAAGGCCCCGCTCCTGCTCCTTTTTGAAGCAAGTCAACATTCGGGCATTTAGATTTCAATAACAGCAAATACTTAGGCATATGAAGTACAAGACCAGAGTTTTGCATGGTCATCAATTTGGATGCCATTTTTGGGTGTTCAGCTTGAAACACCCTAGGCCTGATTCTTCAAAGGTGCTATCTATCCTCTGTTCCCACTGAATTCCGTTCAGGTTGTGGATATTCAACACTTGTGAAAATCCATCCCAACATGTCTCAGGTTGAGTGCCCAAAACTGGAGGCTATTCTGGTAAAATTCACCTTCTTATTGCTTAAAATTGCATGCTGCAGTTTAGTATTTACTCTAATATATATGATGTCATACAGTGCTGGAAATATTATTTCTTTAAATATATTTGTGTGGTTGTATTTTGACATTCCTAGCTGTGTTCATAAGACAGATATTCTCAAAGGGTAATGTTTAATGTAAATGATACCGTCAAACCAGAGTCTGCATGTCTTCTGTGTAACTTCACAAAGTTCTTAAATAGCATTGCGCTTATCAGAAAACAGGGAGCAATCTAGGTACTGAAAGTTGGAAAAGGTATAGCGAATGGAGGTGGGGAAGAGAGGAAACCAGCACAAACTAATTTAAATACATATCTGATAGAGATGTAATGGGAACTTATGACATTTCTTCACCAATCAAGTATGCATAGTCATTACTAACAGCCATCTTGAAAACTGGAGGTGGGAGTCCTAGAATCATAGAATCATAGGACTGGAAGGGACCTCGAGAGGTCATCGAGTCCAGCCCCCCGCCCTCAAGGCAGGACCAAGCTCCGTCTACACCATCCCTGACAGATGTCTATCTAACCTGTTCTTAAATATCTCCAGAGAGGGAGATTCCACCACCTCCCTTGGCAATTTATTCCAATATTTGACCACCCTGACAGTTAGGAATGTTTTCCTAATGTCCAATCTAAACCTCCCCTGCTACAATTTAAGCCCATTACTCCTTGTCTTGTCCTCAGAAACCAAGAGGAACAAATTT